GACACCCCCCCTCCCTGCAAGTCCCAAGGCATCCACCAAATAAGGCATGAAAACAAGAGTTGTGACGAGTGACAACTTTTGCTCGCTTTTTAGTTGCTATAGGAGGAGGCTTCAACATGTTTGTGAAAACGTTCCAAATCATTTCATTCCACTTTCCCCACCTACTTTTTGAAAGCCCTGTACACGTAGCACACATGCACACTGTAAAATGCTCAAAGTGCTGCACGGCACATGAGCACCTTCAGGGTAGGACATGGGCCGTAAGTGGGAGCTCCTGTGAGCCTGGGACACGGATCCCTGCGCAGAGGAAGGATGCAAAAGTGGCCACACATCTGTCCGAATCCTCTCACAGTCCTCTGCACACCTACTTGATAGAGCCTGCCCCAAAGAGCGCCTCTGTTTTCATTGAGTGGACAGCAAACACCACACGGTGGTTCTGGGATACTAGTTGTGTTAGGAATTCTGGGAAGAGAAGGCATTTTGATGAAGGCTGTCCTTAGGCTTCTGACCTAAATACAAAGGGTTCCCTAAGGGCTCCCCTAATCCAACCCCTGCTGTATGGACACACACTCGCTCTCGCACGTTCTCATTCTCCCCCCTCGAGTCACTCCCAGGGCCTTACTTTCACCACGTGCATGCCGGTGGCCCTCAGACTTTTCAGAGGAGACAAGACACCCCAATCCGAGCCCCTCAGTGTAGACCCGGCACTGAGCTTTCCCACTGCAGGTCCACCTGTAGCAGGCTGCCTCAGAACCCCAGCCTCCCCTCCATGGCCGCCCCCCAGCCATTACCTTTGACGAGCAGCTTGTCTCTCACAGACACCCTCCGCGTGGAATCGGAGGTGGGGGCTGAGGAGTGGGGCCCTTTGAGCCCGTCATCCCGCTTCAGTTTGCTCGCCAGAGTGAGCATCACTGCTCTTCACCCTGCGCCAGGGAGACGGGACCGGGTCAGAGAGCACACCCCGCTGCGACAGGGAGCAAAGGCACAGGTTCAAACCAACGTAGTGTCCTGCACACGAGGGGCATTCACAAGATAGCCAGTTAACGAAATCTTAACTAATTCTCCTTTCTCTCTAGGTTGAATGTTTTTAAAGCACAAATTAAAATGTGTTAAAGGAGAGTCATACATTTAGCAAACTCCTACATGCTAGGTGTGCACCATACCTGGGACATGATGGGGAACAGCCTCTTGAGGTGCAGTCTAGAATGGCCCTGGAGCAGCTCAACCAGCATGCCACCATGCTGAGGGGTCCACATGGTCCCCAACAGTCTGCCTGTGGCTCGCCTGCCCCCCACAGCTGCCTCTCTGTCCACCAAAGGTGAGGGGAGCCAGAGAACCAATGCTGCACCCCTTTTCACCAAAGCCAGAGCAAACTAGTCCCTTGAAGGTCAAGTCCAGGGAGCTTCCTACTCCTCATTCCCATTCCATTCCACAGTCGTGGGCCCAGGCCAGCGGGAGTCCAGAAAATGGGGTGCCCTAAGCCACTCAGCTGCTAAAAGCAACCCTGAAACACTACTCTTTCTTAATGACAGGAATCCTTTTACCTGAAATGTGATGCTTCAGATGTGAAGCAGCTACAAGTCGGGGCTTCAAAACGGGAAAATGCCACTACCTTCCAAGTCCATGAAGTTTTTGAAGCCTCTTTGTGCTTCACAGATGATAAAACTGTGCTCTTTAAACACCTAATATTTAGTGCACTTCAATACCCGGGAAGGTTGACAAGCACGGGAAAGTGAAAACCCAACACTACTGTCCTTACTCCATCCACAGAGGGAGGGCACAAGAACCTGGGACAGAGCTACGGGCTCTCTGGTCGCGGGCACTTCTCAAAGCCAGCCGGGTTGGTGCTCGGGTGGAGGGTCAGAAACATAGGCAATACAACACAAGTAAAACATCTTTCTAGCACCCTCTGCTTTCAGTCAACCTCCATTCGATACCAACAACGCTATCCCTCGTTTCAGGTCTTCTTTTGAATCTGGCTTGAAATCGCTGGCAACTCCTTATTAAAATACTGCTCCAACTGTTCATGAATTAGCTTTGGCAGAATATTGCTGCGTGTGACATTAAAGGCATTGTTTGAAAATTTCCACATTTTGTGGGTCATCTTTCCTTGCAATGGGCACAATGCACTTTTCCAGTCGGTCAACTGGCCAGGCAGCCACTTCTCAATTCTTGGCACAGAGGAACCCCTCAAGTGCAGCATCAGCTGTTGAAACAGCTCAACTGGTGTCCCAACGAATCCTCGTCTCATTTATCACGAACACCTTCGCTGCAGCTTAGGGAGCTTCCTTCGGTCCCACTGGTTCTTGGTCATGTGTACCTCCTAAAATGCTTGCAGACGGACCCACTCTTTTTGTCCAGTAACTGGGGGTTTTCCTTCGTCTTGTTTTGATGTTTCCAGCATCACTGAATATTTTGCCCAGAGAATTCAATATTGCAACTTGAGGCTTTGAGAGGTTTTTTTTGTTATTGTTGAGAAATGCCAAGAATGTTCTTCCCTTTTGATGTTCCTAACTCTGGGTTTATGTAGATTTCATTACAATACTTTTCTTTGTCTTCTCAGGCTGCTCTTTGAAATCTGTTCCTTCCACTTCTTCTCAGAAACTCACAGGGCAGTTCTAGCCTGTCCCATGAGCTGGCATTAACTCGACAGCAGTCAGTCTAGGAGTTTGTGGTTTATTGTGTGTTGTAGATCAGGGGTCAGCAACTTTTGAGATGGAAGAGCCAAGCCTGTCCCTTACAAAACTTAAAAATTACTTGAGAGCCTAAATATAGTTTTATAAACAAATGAGATCACCATTATCCTTCAAGTGAAACTGATAGTTATCTTTTAATAATATTTTGCTTTCTTCATGTATGGTGTCCTCCCACAACTTGTCAAGCCTTTGGTTATTAGTGTTCCGTGAATGTGATCTTTTGAGGTGGTCTCTAGATTTGGGTGGAATGCTCTCAGGGTACTTTAGTTGTCGTGAATTTAATTTTCTGCGGTTTCAACTTGTGTATGAGCAATGTATGGTCTGCTCTGTAGTTGGCCTGGTCACTGCGGATACACCTGCATTTTTCTAGTGTCTTTTCCACTCTGTGCACTGACATTGATTCCAATCCATAATGACCCTACGGCTGAGTGCAACGGCCGGCCCCTGTGGATTCCAAGACTTTACAAGCACAAGCAGCCTCATCTTTACCCTGCATAGCAACTGGTGGTTTCATACACCTGACCTTCTGGTTAGCAGCTAAATGTGTAAGCCACTATGCTACCAGATGGGGCCTATTTGTGTTGTGTGGATTCATCCTGGGAGATCCACGTGGATAGTCACCATTTACATGGCTGGAAAAAGATGTCCGCAATCGACAAGCCGTTGGTCTCACGGAATTCTTTCATGTGATCTCCGGCAATACCACCACGATGAAAGCAAGCCGTATCTTCCAGCTACGGTTTTTTTCCTTTTTCTTTCCAACTTCTGCTTCCACTCACCAATAATTACCAATGCACCTTGGTTCAAGTTTGATAAAAGTTTAGACTGCAGCAGTTGATAATCTTCAGTTTCTTTGGCATTGGTGGTAGGGGAGTAAATTTACATAGTTCTATTAACCAGTCTTTCCTGTTTATCACTGACTGAGTTGTACTTCTGAATAGATCTTGAAATGTTTTTGATGATTGTCCTAGTTAGATGACTGAATGTCAAGTTGAAGACTTTATTAAAGTCTGGGGGTGGAATTCAACCCGTCAATCGGTCGCAGCCTGATGATGCCTTCTTGGGGGGGTGGCCTTCTGTACACAAGGAACTTGTCAACCTCCCTCTATCTCTACCGCTTTGCTTACCTACTTGCTGCGACTCTGCACCTGACCCTACGAGCTGTCGGAGCCCTGTCACGTTCCCACTGCCTGTGGATCCACAGGAGTCTGCACCCACTGACCTGTATTCTTCCTGCTTCCAGGTTCGCCATTCTGTGTCACCAGCACGTGGCTGAGTGAGGCTGAAAAGGGACTTACAGACTAGCATTGGCCTTATGGACTTGAGTTGGACTGGGCTGGGATGCCTTCCTGACATACAATTACTTCTTGATATGAAGCTCCTTCTTATACATAGATGAATGTCAGTGGATTTGGTTCTCTAGATAACCTGGCCTAAGACAATGATGAATGTGACGTCCTTCCTCAGTTAGTCATTCAATGTCCAGGACATCAATCTTTAGGTGTTCCATTTCACTTTTGAAACCTTCCAAGTTTCCGAGACTCCGGTTTTTACACTTTACCTGCCGATGAATGGATAGCTGCAGCTCTTTCTTCCCATTCGGATGAGTTGAGCTTCATCAGCAGATGGAGGTCCTGAAAGCTTTACTTCTTTCTACACCATTAAGGTCCACTGCTTCAGGGAGCAGCTCTTCCCACTGAGCTTTTTCTCCTTCATCAAGCAGATTGTCATGAGTTGAGCTGTCTCCCCCTTTCCCAAAATATATGTCAATTTACCAGGCCCTGATTCTCACTGGTTTGGCAATGTAATGCTTTATGTAATGATGTAAGATGGCAGTTAGGTGGTGATGCAAAGTGTAAAGATGTAACCATCCCTATGATGTGGTTAACTCTGCTCTAAAGTGTCGGATGTGGCACCCCTAATTAGGTCACAGTTTGGAGCCGCATAAGGAGAGTTCCCCTGGGGTGTGGCCTGCATCACAGGAGGTAAAAGGAAAGAGAAGTGAGCAGAGACAAAGGGGTTTACAAACACCAAGAAGGAAGAGCTTGGGACAAAAGGCAGCCTTTGAACTCCGAGCCCCTAGGTCCGGAACCTCCTAGAACAAGGAGGCAGAAAGGGAGAGCAAGGCCTTCTCTAGAACCCGCGGTCTGACGCTGGACTTCGGGAGCCCTAAATGCTGGGAGAGAACAAACTGCCCGACTGCTGTAACAGCACGAGAAAACAGAGATCAGCTTTATTTGCTCTGTTTGACAGGAGGCCCATTAAATTTTGTTTATCAGTGTTTCTGTTTCTTTCCTTACTGTGGTTTGGGGAAGTTTCTGGTCAACAAATTATACACATTTTGTGTCAGGCTATTAGTTGTAATCCCCTCCATGCAAACACAATTCACCGTTAGCCTGGTCACATTTGGAGTGCTTTCCCCCCTGAAGAGCTCACTGGGTAGCACTGTCTCACACAAATGTCCCACTGCTATTCATAAGGCTCTCTCTGGCCTGTTTCTACAGAAGAATGCCACTATGGGTCAGAATCGACTTAATGGCCGTGAGGTGTGAGTTTGTTGGAGCTCGACAAGTCCTTCCTTTCTAGTCTGTCTTAGTCCAGACGCTGCACTGAAACCTGTCCACCAGGGATGACCCTACTGGCATTTGAATGATCATTGGCATAGCTTCGAGCATCGCCCAAGCCACCACAGAATGACACAATGACAGTCAGGGCCAAGGCCAGCTCCCCTGGGGTCTCCCATTCAGTGACCCAGAACAAGAAACCACTCTCAGAAAGCAAGGTCCATCACCTAGAAGGCTCCTGTGCTGCACTAAATACAGCCTTGGCGCTGTTCTGAACCCTTTTCAAATCCTGCTACCACCCCAGAGGAGCCACGGTGCCTCAAATGTTAAGCACTCAGCTGTTAACTACAAGGTCAGCAGTTCAAACCTACTGGCTGCTATATGGAAGCACAGGGGGGTGGTCTGCTTTGGTAAAGATTGACGGGGTTGGGAACCCTGTGGGCTGGTCTGCTCTGTCCTGCGGAGTTGCTAGGAGCCAAGATCAACATGATGGCCAAGGGTTTGGGGGAACAAGTGTACAGAATTCTCCACAGGCCGTGCCCCACAGTTCTCCCCTGAAAGAGTCAGACTCCGGACGAGTTGTCTTCAGCAAGGTGTGGCCTTTAACAAAACCACTGACTGGGCACAGTCAGAAAACCCTGCTGTTTTCCCTCCA